TTGAAACTGGATTCTTTCCCCATCCCTAGTAACTGTCACAGCTGACGTCTGGAGTTCCTTACAAGGTCATGAGATCATTACACTATATCATAACAATGTCCCTGCAAACTAAATTGGGTAGCATTAATAAACAGGTAATATGGAGTGACGTGCTAGAGAGCAGTACAATTTGGACCTGTTTTCCAAAGGTTGAGCTAATTAATCTATTATTGCCTTGCTTTTGTGATGTCAAAAGCTTTCTTTTAAAACCATGATTATACCTAATTAGCAGAAGGTTCTTCTAGTCCGGCACCCATTTGAACCACAGTGATATTTGGACAGGGATATTAAAAAACCCTCTTTGGTGGAAAGATAATTACTTGGCTGCAATAGGACTGTTCCAAGACTGAGAAGCGTGAAGAATGTGAACAGCAGAGAAGTTAAAAATTGGAGCCATTGCATCTGTGTCGATACCAAAAGTTATAGGAATCAGACTGGGTTGAGCAGTCTGAGAAGAATGAATGAATCAATCAATTCTGCAACAGAACAGGAAGTAGGAGATTTTCAAAAGTGCTCAGGGCTGTTCCCAGTGAAGTAAATGGTCAAACTCCCACAGCCAGATTCTAATCTCATTTATACTAAGGAGTTGTCTACATGGCAAGTTACTCACAGCAAGCCATTATATGAATCTACGGCGCCCTAGCTTGTAACATCCGGTGTGGACACTGCAACAGTGCACATAAAGTCCCCGAGTGCACCTTGATGTATATAGTCGATTCACAGCCTGGCTTGCCATGCAGTGACTTGCCATGTAAACAAGTCCTAAGGCCCCTTTATACCTCTCTGGTATTGTGAAGAGGCTTCAGTATTGCTGTAGTGGGTGTGGCTGCCCTATAGCACCACCTACTGGGCACTCCCTTGCCTCAGTTTCCCTCCCTGAGGTGAGTCTCCTCAGCTCTCAACAACCCAATCTGTGCTGGAGATATGGCTTAGCCCTCTGGCCCCCGACTAAAAAGAGTCCCAATGAGCAAAATGGTGGTTCTGCTCTTTGGAGCTTCTCTTCAGCTCATCCCCTGGCCTTGTTCCCAGCCCCTTCCTGGTCTACCTTTGAAAGTATTTATGGCTGGGACAGAGCACGCAGCCTGGTTCCCCTGGTGTACTATTCTCAGCCCCTTTCTGTGCTCTGTGCCGTGTATCCTTCCCCGCTCCGGTTAGCGCCCTGGGTCCCCAGGCTGGTTCTCCTGCCTATCTGCAGCTCCACTCTCAGACGACTTCTAATGCTTTATGGTGAAGCAGCCTCTCCTATGTACCTTCACGCCACTTCACACTTACCCTGCTCTGTATCCTTAGAAAACAGCCACCGCAGCCGAGCTTTTCTGGTGTGACCCTACTTTCCTGATACACCCACTAAACCCTTCATAGTATATTCCATCACCTTAAAGCCTCCAAATTCTTCACAAAGAACCTGTCTTTCCTGGAAACACTCCCTACATTCCCACAGCAAGTGGGCAGCTGTTGCTTTAACCTGACATGCGTTCCACGACCCACCGTGGTGTCTATTCAACAGATAGAAATGATTCTTCACAACACAATGGCCAGTTAGCAAGTCTATATAGGGGTCCTTCACTCCTCCTGTCGGACTTTAGAGTCGCACGTTACCCTCTATTTTGGGGGGCATACTTCATAGAATCTTCTTCCTCATCCCTCCTTGCTGTTTCTCTTTTAATCCTTCCCTTGCTAAACTTTGAAATCCCTGCTTACTCAAAGGAATCAGTTTGTTTGGCAATTTTGAGTAGTCGAGGGGAAAAAAATAATCGATTTAGGGTCAGACCAAAAAGGAAAAACATTGAAATTTCTGGCAAGTCAAAGACGAGAAAAAAAAAATTCATTTCTGGTCAAATGAAATGTTTTGTTGCAACAATATCAAACCATTTTGTTTCGATTTTGGCCATCTGTCATTTTTTTTATTAAAAAGTTAAATTCAAGTTCATTTTAAAACAAAAATCAAAATGTTTCATTTTCAAGTATTTAGATGAAACATTCTGATGTTTTTGTTTGTTTTTCCTGCAATGAACAATCAGCCCCCCAAAGTAAACAAATACCAACAATGTGGCAAAAGTCAAGAAAAATTCACAAGACATTGCTGTATTGCTGAATCTGCTTTTTCGGTGCGGGGGGGAGGGGGCAAAGGAAGAAAGTTCCAGACAAAAAAATTCTGGCCATTTACTCACATGCCGGTAGAGCGCCATCTATTGGTGAAAAAAGGTATGTAACATGGTCCATAGTTTTGGAGGACCAATAAAGTTGGACTCCAGTTTACACAGCTCTAAACAGGTGGTGAAAATTCTAATTCCCACTGGAGTTCCACCATTCAAACATTTACCCCAGAATAGCATTGTAATCAACATGGGACTGGGAGATCAGGGAAATGAGACAAAAAGGGCCTCCAGCAGGCCTGGGTCTTAAGGAAAGAAGGTGTAGAGTCCCGGGCTGACCTAGCTCACAGGGGTAATGGGAAAATCTCCAGCAGTTCCAGGCAACAGAAATTCTCCACCAGTGTTTAATGCTAGACCTGAAAACTCTCAGGCAGAGGTCTCTCAGCCCTTGCTTTCCCCAAGAGGAAACCTGCAGCTGCCTCGCTCCCTTCAAAGCCAGGGGACAGCCCCTTCAAATGGCAACAATGAAGAGCATCCCAGGATGCAACGCAGGCACTGACACCCACTTTCTGCCTCGGGCACTGGTAACCCCCAGCAGCTCTCTTGACTCATGGGGGAGAGATAGCTCAGTGGTTTGAGCATTGGCCTATTAAACCCAGGGTTATGAGTTCAATCCTTAAGGGGACCATTTAGGGATGGGGACAACAACAACAACAACAACAAAAATCTGTCTGGGGATTGGTCTTGCTTTGAGCAGGGGGTTGGACTAGATGACTTCTTGAAGTCCCTTCCAACCCTGATATTCTATGATTTCTGAGTAGGGGATGAATAACCTGACTGAATCATTCCTCCCCAGAAGGGCTGAGGAGAGGGTGTAAAGTTGCTCCCAGTTACCCACCACCTGAACAGATTTTCTGCTGGAGGGGGGTTAAAAGGATTTGCAGTAAATGTTGCCTGTGCAGAATTTTTCACTGCAAAGACTAGTGTGGCATTCATGCATTGGCAGGGAGTCCTGGGGCAGAGGCCATATGGGATAATAGTGCCCTGGCAGGGGGCTGGACTGGATGACTCAAGCAGTTTTCCTTCTCTAGCTTCAGTGATATAGAAATGATTAGAACAATTTTCACAGAAGGAAAAACACTGTCCTTTCCCCAGGACACAGCTATCAAAGCAAGCTGGTCTGATCAACTCCCAAATATTCCCCAGAGCTGGGCTGAGAACAAGCACCAAATCAAAAGACGCGGGGCCAGATCCTCAGCTAATTTGAATCAGCGTCGCTCCATCAAAATCAGAGTGATGCCAGTTGACATCAGCTGAGCATCTAGCCTGTTGTTTCAGGGGAAGTTAGAGGTGGCCAAAATAGGGCTTGGGATGGAAAGTTCATCCTCAGTAGACCAGTTCAATCCAGGACTTTAATTTAAGCAAGTCGTTGTAAGACAGTGAGATTCCTCATTCATTTATATTTCAAGCGCGCCTAGGAGGCAAACTCGTGAGCCAGGAAGGACCCCTACACGTTGTGTCAAATCCATCTTCAAGTTATTTGAGATTCATGGCTGATCTTCCAGAGATCAAGGACGATTGTCAATTTAAGTATTTTTGTCCCACAATGGGGTGGGTTTCTTTGGCACTCTGGCTCTCTTCTTTTCACTTGAGCAGAAAGGTGTTTGGAACAGAAACCCTGCAGGCTCAGAAATCATTTCTCCACATAGGATGTGTTGTGGCAATAAGGGACTAGTTTATCTACAAGGGAAAAAATGATAGGTAGTTTGATTGGTCCGAGCACTGTAAAAAACACGTTGCTGAAGGCGTACGTTGAAAAAAAAAAAAATGCGGCAACTGTATTTTTTGCAACAGACCCACTTAAAAAAAACCCACCATGTAATGATTCATAACAACCCATGCAACTAAAACCAGGAGTACCGGTGACCCACCTGTCATCTTTTAGCATCCTGCTAACGAGCTTAAAAGCACTGGTGAGGAGCAGAGTTTAGCCACAACCGGTTTGTACAAGGAAAACAAGATTCTGATTTTAGGAGAACACTGGTTCTTGCGCAAGGTAAGCCTTTCCCCCCTTCTCAGTATCCAGTTTCAGCACTTTGAAGAAGTGAAGTCAGGGTGATGCATCTGATGGTTGGGAAAGGATTAAACATTCTAAATTATTCATGAAACTAGGGAGATTTAAAAAAAAAAAAAATCAAATAATCATTTGGATCTTGACTAACCTTCTCAGGAAACGGTCTGATTTACTTGCTTCCGTGAGGTGTTGTTGTCCTAGAAGTGACCAGCTAAAGATATGGGGATAATGAGCAATTTCAAACGTTGGGGCTCGAACTACCGGTCCAGGGAGCGCTGCTGCACCCCCTGGCTTGAAGTGGATTCCATCATATACAGGGTTTAGAATTTGGTTCATTGGCTCTCAGCATCCCCACCCCTCCCCATAAAAATTGTTCCGGCATCCCGGTTTCAAACCTTTGAACCATTATTAATTAGATCTTCTAAAGGGTGTGTGTGTGTGTGTGTGTGTATATATATATATATATATATATATATATATATAAAAATACACTAAAGATTGTGAGGTGCTCAGCTGGCTGGTGTGGTAATGGGGACCATATAGACAGGAGTTCAGGGTAAGGTTTATTACCATAAAATGAGTCTTTGAAATATACAGCTGTTTTCTTGTAATTGTGTACTTTTGATTAACCATTATATATGCCTATAGGTCCTAGGATCCAATTTTCCACCCATCCAAGTGCTGGAAATGCACTTCAAAGTGACTTGTGTTGTAATTCATCCAGCTAAGGCTGGATTTAGTTTGTTGGCAAATTGTAACCTTAGGTGTTATTGTCTTGTACAGAAGGCCAAATGAAAAGCATACAGTGGCTCTACCTATATGGACTAGTAATCGTGGTGTTGATTCCAGCCAGCTGGCAGATTGTCCTCAACAATTTGTCGGATGAGTCTAGGTAAGGTGCATTTGAGACTGACAAGTACACCGTGGGTTGGTGGTACCGGGCTGAAGTAGAGGGAGAGAACACAAATGCGACCCATCAGACACAGCTTAATCATGTCAATTACTCGGTTTTATTTGGCTTTGCTGCCAGGTGATGGTACGGCATATTACGATGTGCAGCAGATGAAAAAGTGAATAAGATGGTGAGGTGTATTAGGAAAGGAGCAGAGAATATGGACCATATTATTAGGCATTGCAGTATCATCTAGGAGCCCTAGTGATCATAGGATGGGAAAAGACCTCAAGAAGTCATCTAGTCCAGTCCCCTGCACTCATGGCATAGGACTAACTATTATCTAGACATCCCTGACAGGTGCTGGTCTCGCCTGCTCTTAAAAATCTCCAGTTACAGATATTCCATAACCTCCCTAGGCCAATTTATTCCAGTATTCAACTATCCTGACAGTTAGGATGTTTTTCCTAACGTCTGAACCTAAACCTCCGTTGCTGCAATTTAAGCCCATTGCTTCTTGTTCTAGCCTCAGAGGTTAAGGAAAACATTCTCTCCCTCCTCCTTGTAACAACCTTTTATGTACTTGAAAAAACTGTTCTCATGTCCTCCCTCAGTCCCCTCCAGACTAAACAAACCCATTTGTTTCAATCTTCCCTCATAGGTTATGTTTTCTAGACCTTTAATCATTTTTGTTTCTCTTCTCTGTACTTTCTCCAATTTGTCCACCTCTTTTCTGAAATGTGTCACCCAGAACTGGACACAATACTCCAGCTGAGGCCTAATCAAAGCGGAAGAATTACTTTCCGTGTCTTGCTTACAACACTCCTGTCCTGCTAATGCATCCCAGAATGATGTTTGCTTTTTTCACAACAGTGTTACACTGACTCATTTAGCTTGTGATCCACTCTGACCCCCAGATCCCTTTCTGCCGTACTCCTTCCTAGGCCGTTATTTCCCATTTTCTATGTGCACAGCCGATTGTTCCTTCCTAAGTGGAGTACAGGTCTGCCTCATCTTACGCGGGGTTTCCATTCCGCCGTTAGCGCGTAAAGCGAAAACCACATATAGTCAAAATTACATTGAGTTCAATGGCGGGCGGAACCGCGCGCACTACAGGTACAGTATTAAAATTGTTATTTTTCTCTTTTTTTTGGTTTTTGCCGACCGCGTAAAGCTGAAATTGCGCATGTTAACTGCGCACAAGATGCAACAGCCCTGTACTTTGCATTTGTCCTTATTGAATTTCATCCTATTTACTTCAGACCATTTCAAAATTTTAATCCTATCCTCCAGAAGCACTTGCAACCCCGCCACAGCTAGATATTGTCCTGATGAAGCAGGACCACATTGTGCTCGCGCTGTATAGACTTGGTCCTGTAAGACACGGCACATGCAGTGCCGGGTCCTGTTGTAGATTATGTGGGTAACTAAGAGGCAGTGGGTCCTAGTGGGTAGAGCACTGGACAGGGATTTAGGAGAGCTGGGTTGCTCTTACCTCTGCCACTGGTCTACTGGGGGACCTTGGGCAAATCACTTCACTGTCCCGTGTCTCAGTTTCCCCATTTGTAAAATATGGATATGATGCTGATCCCCTTGATAAAGCACTTTGAGATCTACAGTAGACATGCGCTAAAGAAAAGCAATGTATTATTAATTGTATATAGTGTAGCGCTGCATAAGCAATGTATGTTTTGGTATTATAGCAGCACCTACAGGCTTAGGCCAAGATCAGGGCCCTGTTACACTAGATAGTCTGGGCCCTGGAGAACTTAGTCTAAACACACCCAGGACAAAAGGGATGGGACTTACCTACAGTTACGTTGTCATAGCAAGTCAGCGGCAAGGGCAGAAACAGAATTCATGCCTGCTGACTGCCGCTACAGCGTGCTCTCCACAGGACCCTGTATCCATCCCAGTGCAGCACCCTCCTTAACGTTTCCCATCCCTCTCTCCCAAACAGATGGCAATCTTTTGAATCGAAAAGCGCTCGGAGTTTTACTTCCGACATCAAGCGGCATTCTGAAGGCACCTTCACCAGTGATTTTACCAGATATTTGGACAAGATGAAGGCCAAGGACTTTGTGCACTGGCTTATCAACACGAAACGTTACAGGTATACAAGCAGAATATGGCTGAAATGGTAGAACAGAGACACGGTTCTAGGCAGACTCCTGAGAACGTAGCGACTTAAGGATTGGAAGGGGGCGGCCTAGGACTACTTGAAAGATTTCTGTCAAGGCCATTTCATAGTGGAAAATTGTGGGTTTTGACAAAATGAATTTTTTCATGCAAGTATTGGTTCTCTGTGGGAAATTTCGATCTTGTGTCAAAAAGCCAAAACACCCAACTACCGAAATAGTTTGGCCAAAAACCAAAATATTTTGGCCCAAACCAGAAAATGTTGGTGGCCCAAAGTTTTTCAGGATTCAAAATTTCCACCCAACGAAATTTGAAAATTTTCTGTGGAAATGTTTAGATGGCGGGGGGGGGGGGGGAGGAGAAGAGAAAACCCCCCGTAACTTCTTCGTTTGTCAAAATTTTCTGTGGAAATTTTCGAGTGGGGAGTGAGTCAGATTCCCACAGAGAGGAGTCAAGGCTGGGTTCTTTAGGACAAACTCTGAGGTATGTAGACTGCAACTGAAAGCAAGTCTCCCAGGCCAGGCCAGGCCGCCAGGGCTAGCTCTGTTCGAGCTACTGCACTAAAAATAGTAGTGGGGACCTTGCGGCAAGGGCTGAGGCATGGACTAGCCACCCAAGTACAAGCCCACCTGACCCCCTGGGTGTATTTTGGGTGGCTATCCCATGCCATAATCTCTACACTAGCTCAAGCAGAGGTAGCACATGACCCTCTACCCAGGCGGAAAGGCCTGCGTCCAGCTGCAGTGTCGACGTAGCATGGAGACAGGGCCTCTGAGGGTATCAGAATCCCTCTCTGATCCCCATGGCAACGCCCCAGGCCGAGCCAACCCAAAGTGGTCTGGGCAGCTCTGGGAGGCAGGCACATGGGCACAGGCATCTTGGGTGAAAGAATGAGAACAGAAGTCAACGAGGGGCAGTTTTTAAAGGGGGAAGAGTTTCCGAAAGATCAGGCAGAAGGGAAACACGAGGCATAAATAAAAAAATAAATAAATTTCTGCTCTTTAATAACGCAGTATACCAAGGAGTGAGGGTTGAGTGGATGTTTTGCACAGTAGTACATTCACAGATGGGTTTTCCTTATTTTCCACAGCTCTACAAAGAGGTACATAAAAGGAGACCACAACATCATCTCCTTCCCTTCTGACCACTCGCTATTTAGGTAAGTCAGATACACTTTGAATTTCCAAACGTCTATGTCTCGCAAACTGCTCCCATAGCTAGGTTGTCCTGACTTCTGGATCTGACAGCATAAGCTAAAGAACCAGTACATGAGCTTGAGGTCAGTAGCAAAGGGGGCAGAGGCAAACAGCAGTGTTCGCATGGATTACACACTCCAGTTGCCTGGGAAGACTGTCCCAAGCAGAGCGGGTTGAGAACATTGTGTAATCAAAGTCAAAATGTTTCATGCGACCGTATCGATTCCAAAGATATTTTCCCCAGAAATTGTTTGAACTGATTCAAAATTGCAATGGCCTATTTTGTTCGGACTGTCCTGGTTTATTGCTCTCCGATTTTCTCAGATGAATTATAGCTAATACTATAGTTCTACATTCTCAAAGCAAAAAAGGTTTCAATGAGGTTTTTCGGGGTTTCCAAACTGAATTTTTTTGGCATTTCTGTTCTGCGAAAAAATAGGACATTTCAATTTTTCCATCCCAATTTGGGACAAAACAAGGGTCAGAAATGCCATTTGCGACCAGCTCTCGTACCAAGCATTAGAGGGCTAGAGCAATTCTATTCAAATCATCAGCAGATACTGAACTGGGGACTTGCTTTCTGCTCTGCATGGGCTCCTCCCTCCTCAGCTAGAAGATTCACTGCCTAGCAGCCCCATAGACCTACGTATGTGGTCTAACCAGTAGAGCTGGACATTGTGTTAATGTTGGCCAGTCAATCTACCAAGCAAAAACGATTCATGGAACTAATTCAGTGCTAGGCCGTGGTAAGGGTGTAGTTAGACTGCCCAGAGCAGAGTCAGACGCAGTATTACGTTTAGTCCCTGGTGCCTCCTGGCTGGCTGAGTGGGGAAAGTCATACCTGGCCCAGAGCATTTTCCCCTCTGTGATAGCCAATGCGTTTGATGGGGCAGAGTCAAAGCTCCACTGCTCCCTGCCCTTGCCAAGCCGATCGCTGCCCACTGGCAAAGGAAGGGTAGTAGAAGGCTGACAACACTGCTCTATGGGTAGCAATACCAACAGGCTGCACAGCAGAAAAAGAGGGAGCTTTATGCCCTATTACTCCCCTGTGCTGATGCATGCGGAGGGGCAGCGTCTCCGTGAATAAAGACTAAAACCAAAACAGCCGTGAGCTGATTGTGAACAGTCTGCAAACAGAACGAGAAGGGGACTTAATTGTCTTTCTAGCCCAATGACTAGATTGGTAGCAAACAGTACACGTTAACCAGACCCTGCCTAAAGCATTGACCTAGCAGATACTGATTTCCTCCTAAATCAGTACCTATTTTAATCCCAAAAATAAGCCATGCATTGCAGTCCCAGGAATCACTGAATAGCAGCGGCGAACACGACTGGCAACATAAACCTGTTTCACTGCCCTATATGCCTGAGCTCCCATGGCGTTGTGTGTGTTTGTTTCCTAGGTCTGATTAGCCACCAGACCAAGAAATCAGCCTTGCGGAAGGATCTTCCCGCAGCTGTCTAGTGGATCTAGTCACATCTGACAACGATCAAAGGATTCCGCAATGAAACTGAATTGTACTAAGTGTTCATTGCTCCCCGGCTATTGTCATGACAAGGTACAGTGAAATATCCAACCTCTGTGACGAACGAGGTCAGCACGCCGTGTTAAACTGGATTTGTTTCGACGCTTTACGCCGCTGTTTTAGTGTTGTCTGTGGGCTGCTTCTCTGGCACCAGAGTTTCTGTACGTTCTCATAAATGACAATAAAGCCATGGTAAATGAAGCCTTTTGTTTTCTCAAGCCAAGATCTGCCATACTTTAGAGAAAGTCATCCTGATCATTTTCCAATTTGCACCATTAGTGGAAAAAAAAAAAAATCTACTAAACAGTGTCCAAGGGCCAAAGATATTTAAGGTTCCAAGTCACGAACACACTGAAGCATGTGCTAAACATTAACATAGGGCTGGCTGTGTGAGAAAGGACTTTGCTCCGAGACATCCATCACTCTGTAGAACAGTTGGACAATGGGGTCCTGGTCCATGATGGGTACTTCATATAATACAAACAGAAAAAGGCTGGCAGTTCTAAATATAACTCAGCCTGGTGGACTCTGATTAGAAAGGACACCTGCAAGCCCCAGAGTATACAGTTAGAGGAGATTAAGTAGACAGGCCTTGCTTTTATACAAGACGACTTTTCACCCATGGCTCTCAAAGCACTCTACAGAGATGGTAAGGATCATTCTCGTAAGTATCATTCTCTCTATTAGGAAACTGAGGCACAGAGGCAGGTTGAGTTACCCAAGATTACCCAACAGCCTAGCCAGGAATAGAACATGGTTCTCGGGGATCCCTGCACCAGGGTCTAGCCACAAAACCAGGGCTGTGCTCTGCCCTAAAGCCACTGTTTGAGCACATTCTTAACTTTAAGCAGCTGCTTGAGTCCCCATGAAGTCCATGGGATTTCAGCAAGCACTTTGCCAAGTCAAGGCGTTAGCTCAATCCAGACCTCTCTTCGGCCTTCACGGGGGTCAGGGACACGTGGCCAAAGGTGGAGCACAGCTGTTTGCTTTATGAATTTCAAAGCCAATTTAGTGGTTCCTATTTCCACCCCCATCCCAGGGTACACTCACCGCAGATAGCTCCTCCTCCTGGCCACTCTGGGGATTAGCTCTTTCCAGGTCCAAGGCTTGTGGCATTCCCTGCTGCTGACTCAGCCGGTTCCCTCTTCATGACTTGACCCTCCAGCCAAGTCACTATGTGAGTTTCCCCTTCCAGGGGACCAAAGTCTTTTCTAACCAGCAGTCTTCTCATTTACTACCCCTCTGGTGCCACTTCCCCAGGGCTGGTAGGGGAGCCCACACTCACTCTCTGCTCCAGGTTCCAGTCCAGGGACCCTATGACTGGCAACTGTAGAATCCTGATGCTCTTTTCCTAGACTCCCTCCTACAGCTTCTGGCTTTCCCCTTCTCTAGCTGCTCCAGCTCCAGCTCCCACCTCTCAGGATGTAACTACAAATCACTCAGTTCTCCCACACCATCTAACTCCCAGGGAATAACTGCAGGCTACTTCCCTGCAGCCCCTTTCTTTTGCTAGCCTTTTTCCTAGCCCCGCCTTTTCCTTCTCAGCTGAGCACCCTCAGCCTTACTTTGGCCACCTAATTCCCCTCAGCTGTGGCCTTAGCTGGTTAATTGGCCCCTTCTCAGCCTCATTAACCCCTTCCAGGCATAGGTGTTGGAAGTAGGGGTGCTGCCGCACCCCCTGGTTTGACATGGTTTCCATCCTATCCAGGGTTTACAGTTTGTTCCAGCACCCTTGCTTCCGGGCTATTGTGGGGTGAACACCCTCCCCCTCAAAAAAACAGTTGTATCTGCATTAGGGTTTGTAGAACTGTTCGCTGTTTGGTAGCACTCGCTGGCAAACAAAGGAGATTCTCATCACTGAATCTTGACTTGATTAAAGGTGGCTCGCCCCTTTCTGAAGGGGGGGAAAAAGAAGTGAATCTAAAACTGAAATAAAATGCCTCTCCATAGAATAAAACGCAGGAATGTTGCTATTAGAACTCAGCAGCCGTGCTCTGTAGCTGTCATCAGTACATTTGTCGATTCCAACTTCTTTTGTTTTTAATCCATTAGAAGTTGGGGGAATTCGCTGTCCTCTAAGAGTCAGGCATCCAACTCCTCAATAGGAGCTGGTCTCCTTTCTTGCACTGCTGAGAAAACTTTAAGTGCATGGGGGAAGGTTACGCCCATTGAGAGGCTTCCTAAAGACCTCTCTGTCTATACCAGGGGTGGGCAAACTACAGCCCATGGGCCAGATCCGGCCTGCCAGCCATTTTAAACCAGCCCTCAAGCTCCCACTGGAGA